ATAAATGCAATGGCATCTGATGGTTGATCTGCCCCGCTCATGATCTTTTACGACCCATTCTCCACCCAGCAGCCCCAGGGATCATGGATAAATGTCAAGCAAGATTATGTCATTTCCTTGCATACAATCTTCTAGTGGCTTCTCATTACATCCAAACTCTTAGCCAACGAAAGGCCCTCCTCTGAGCTCTGCCTTAAAGAAAGAAAATAAAGAAACTCATTATTCTGTTTTACAAGGCTCTGCACTAGCTGCTGTCTACCTTCCCACTCTATCCCATGCCCTTCAACTTTGTCCTTTATGAGTCTCAAAAGCAAACTCATTAAACTCACTATTTTAGGGGGTGGGGTGGGATTGGGGCCATATCTAGTGGTGCTCAGCTCATTTCTGGTGGTGCTCAGGGAACCATATGCGGTGCCAGATATCTAATCTGGGACAACCTCGTATAAGCCAAGTGCCTTAACCCCTGCACTATGCCTGTAGCCCAGGCCCATTATTTCTTTAGTGTCTCTGTATCTGCTGTTCTGGGTCTTTGCATCACTCATCGCTTCTTAACCTTTACGTAGTCATCTACTAGTCTAAGTTCCTCAATTCATCTTTTTCTATATTATCTTGTGGTTTAAATTATTCACAGAAGGGCCAGCGAGGGATGGGAGAGACAGTACAATGGGGAGGGCGTTTGCTTTGTAAGCGGCCATCCCAGGTTCAATCTCGGGCATCCCATATAATCTCCAGAGCCAGCCAGGAGTAACTTATTCCCTAATGCAGAGCCAGGAGTAACCCCTAAGCACTGCCAGGTGTGGCCCCCCAAAATATAAAAATAAATAAATAAATAAATAAATAAATAGAAACTGTTCCTGGTTGGAATGATTTCATTTGTGTTTACTTACTTTCTTGGCGGTTTGTGCAACCCCCACTCCTGCTGTTCCCCCAAGAGGTGAGTTCCAAGAAAACAAGGTCCTTGGGGCCAAAATAAAAAGGGCAAGTGCTAGCCTTGTTATTAGCTAACCTGGGTTTAATCCCTTGGACCCTTGGCCCTGCCAGGAGTGGACCTTGCTTCAGAGCCAGGAGTAAGCCCTGAGGAGCACCAGGGCTTACTGGCGGTCCAAAACAAACATCTAGAAACAAAATATAACAAAACAAAAGAAAGCAGCATCTTTGTCTGTCTTATTTACATGTTTCCACGCTGTAGGTCCTCAAGCAGCACTAAACGAAGAAATGAATGAAGGTGTAAGTTGCAAATGTTGAGGACAGGGACCTGTCTACCTGGGAGCTGGGCCGCCTGGCTTCTGTGTTGGCTGTCCTTTCCTTGGGCCTGGCTGTCGAGTGTTGACCAGGGTTTTAATTCATAGATGAACTTGTCCCTGGCCCTTCCCCTTAGTCCTTCCTGGGTCAGAGCCAAAGGTTGTTGAGTTCAACACAGATAAGCCCAGAGCCCACAGAATTTTATGGGTCTGACCTGGTGAGGGAACACTTGGTTCTTGCTTCTCCATGCGCCCTTCCTGCCAGAAGCTGTTGGGCCCGGCCTGCTGCCCTCTCGGGGATCACTCCCACAGCCCGCCTGACCTCCCTGCCTCCTTAATCTGCCAAAGGTCTTATGCCACATCTTGTAAGGAATTCACGTGGGCCATGACCTTTACGATGAGAAAATTTGGGCTGTAAATGACCTGCTCTGTGGTTAAATATTGATGATACCAGGAAGTAGAAGCCTGGAGTGGGCATACTACAGAGACCCCTAAAATGACAGGACCTCCCCCCCGCCCACCACCACCAACAGCCAGGGGCTCCTCCCTCCCTTGAAGGGCCTTTCCCTGAGTTAGCATGAGCACAGCATCTGAGATTATCTCTTTCCTGGAGTCCAACAGTACATGGGAAGCACTTAGGCAGCTGATTTCCTGGCATTGCGAAAGTCAGGTGAGGCCATTTGTCATTTGAGGCCACTCTCGAAGGTCAGTCACCCCAGATGGGCAGAGACTTCATGCCTGGGTGTGGACTCAGAGCGAGCATCCCAACAGGCAGCTGCCTCCGTGCTGCTCCCCCGGAAACAGCGGTGTGAAGATTGAAGTACAAAGACCATCTAGCTCTTCCCTGAAGAGGAGAGAGAAGACAAGAAGCCAGTGCTTCTCCTCCAAAGCAGACCAGTGCAGCTCCGGATCCAGGCTTTAGGTGAGTGAGTGGGGTTGAGGAGGACCCCAGGATCTGGGGCAGGAATCACAGTCTCATGGCAAATGGATAAGCCCTGGCTTACACACAGAGCTCCCAGTGGTCTATCCTGGGAAGGATCCTGGAACAGAAAACAGACATGAATGGGCTCATGGGAAAGGATGGAGTTCAGTGGTAAAGCTCCTAAGATCCTGGATCCAACCCCCAGCACAAAGAAAAGGAAAAAAAGGGAGGGATGTAATGGAAAAATAGCACTGTAGTAGCACTGTCCTCCCGTTGTTCATCAATTTGCTGGAGCAGGCTCTGTAACACTAACACTGTGAGACTTGTTACTGTGTTTGGCATATCGAATACATCACGGGTAGCTTGCCAGGCTTTGCCGTGCAGGAGAGATACTCTCGGTAGCTTGCTGGGCTCTCTGAGAGGGGTGGAGGAATCGAACTCAGGTTGGCCAGGTTGGCCATGTGCAAGGCAAACTCCCTACCCGCTGTGCTAAATTTAAAAAATCATGCAGCTTAGTTAAGAAATAGCAATGGTGGTAGAAACAGCCCAGGTGTTCACTGCTGAAACAAACTGGATAAGTGCTCTGAGGGCACAGCGTTCTTTGTTTCTGTGGCATCTGCCCTAGGAAGGGTGGCTTCCTAGGTCAGTTGTTGGCCTGTGTTTATTTAAACAATATTATTTGTGTGTAAAATGTTGTATTTCATTGTGAACATCAGTCCATATACAGTCTCAGCCTATCTATTTATTCTGATTACACCCTGTTCTGATTCCTGTAGTTTTATAGATTTTAGTTTGGGGGCCACACCCAGTGGTGCTCAGGGCTTATTCCCGTCTCTGTGCTCAGGGATCACTCCTGGAGAGATCTTGGGGGGAACCCCAGTACTGGGGACTAAATCAGGGTCAGCCACTTACAAGGCAAGTGCTTTAATTCCTGGACTATCTTTCTGACCCACTTACATTAAGTCCTAAAATTGGGTAATGTCTGTCCCTCAACTTTGTTCTTCTTCTCCACTATATTGAGCAGCCTGGGGCAGGCAGGTGAGTGATCTCTCTGGCCCTGATTCAATTCCTGGCACTGCATGGTCTCCTGAACACCACTGAGAGTAGCCCCTGGGCACTGCCGGGTATGCCCCCAAACCAAGTCCATAACACGAAACACGGGTATTCTTCTCATGAAGTATGTAGAAATGAGAAATGTACACAGTCTAGCAGTATGTGTGGGTGAGAAAAACCTTCTGTTTCCCTGATTCTATTTTCTTTGTTTTAATAATAGAATCAACAACAGGAGGGGGAAAAAAGGTGTTGTCAAAGTTGAGGGACAGAAAAATAATTGGTACTAGGGCTGGGGGCCTGCTTTGCATGCAAGTGTCTGGGTTAAATTCTGATCACAATCCCGGCTGGTCTGCTCCCCTCCCACCCCCCACTCCCAGCACTTCCAGAACAACCAAGCCCCCAGCATTGAGCACCAAAGGGCTTTAGAACTCCACCCGGCGGGTCCCCAAACCCTAAATACACACATAACATTGGTACTAGAACTAAATCTTTCCCATATAGTATTAGAATGAGTAGTAACAGCACACATATATACCATATGGGAGCGGAACGAAGGTACAGCGGATAGGGTGCTTGCCTTGCAGGTGACTGAGTTGGATTCGATCCCCAGCACCCTCCATATGGTCCTCTGAGCACCGTTAGGAGTGACTCCTGAGTGCAGGGCCAGGAGTAACCCCTGAGCATCGCTGGGTCTTCTCCTATAAAAAAAAAAAAGAGGAGGAAGAAGAGGAGGAGGAGGAGGAGGAGGAGGAGGAGGGAGAGGAGGAGGAGGAGGAGGGGAAGGAGGGGGAGGAGGAGGGGGAGGAGGAGGGGGAGGAGGAGGAGGAGGAAAATGAAGAGGAGGAGGAGGAGGGGGAGGAGGAGGGGGAGGAGGAGGAGGAGGAGGAGGAGGAGGAGGAGGAGGAGGAGGAGGAGGAGGAGGAGGAGGAGGAGGAGGAGGAGGAGGAGGAGGAGGAGGAGAACAGTTTGTGACAGTTTTGACTGAGGGTTCATAACCGCGAATCCCTTTACCTGCTACATTTCGGAGAGACGGAAACACTTAAGGAAGGGATTTATTCCGAGAGCATGGGTTCAAGTTCTTTCAAGGGGTTTACGAACTAGGGCAGCAAGGACGGGTCGAGACCAGAGGTGGCGGCCGAGAAAGGGGCGCGCGGCGCTCTGCTGCCCTGGCCCGCCGCTGCGGGACTCAGGCTTGCCGGGTCTCCAGCGCGCACCCTGGGCGTGCCCATCTTCGGGAGAGCGACGGTGATAGGACCATCACTTGTCACGTGATAAGGATTGGCCCTGTGATTGGCCGTCGTCTAGGGGGCGTACCGTGGGAAGTTTGGAAAAAAGCAGATCCGATTGGAGCAGGCAAAAAAGCGGTGCTGTTCTCTGCTCACCTGCCACATATTATGACTTTTGGTTTGCTTTGGGGACATACTCACCGGTACTCAGGAACTTACTTCTGGCTCTGCACTCAGGGATCACTCCAGGCGGGCTAAGGAGAGTGGGATGCCTAGGATCTAGCCCGAGGCAGCCACGTGCAAGGAAAGCACCCTCCCTACTTGCGCCTGCTCCCCTCTTAAAACATAACGATTTTCAAGTAAGACCTGAGTCTCTCTCACTGTCATGTACTCCTCATCTGCCGGCCCCACCTGTCCTGAGATCCAGCTATTTGGGTTTTGCAACTTTGGATCTGACAGGAGCCGGATTTGGACCATGGGTGGGGTGGAATGCACCTACCCAGCAACACTCTGTTTGTTTTCCAGGACTAGGCTTGGAGACTAGGAACCGAGGCGGCCCGAAGCGCAGGTGTGAGGGTGCGGGGCTTAAGGACTTCCTCACGAAAACGTACCCCACCCAGGAGTGCAGACATGGGCTACAGTGAGGGGCACACAGGAGCTCTGGCTAGCATTGAGGTGCCTCAGGAGCTGCTGGAAGAAATGGCTTGGCGTTTTCGGGTAGAAGATGGTAAGTGGAAAAGGAGCACGTGTGCATGTGCATGCTTGTGTGTGGGAGTGTGCACGTGCATGCTTGTGTATATGACAGTGTGCATGTGCATTCTTGTGTATGCATGTGTGCATGTGTGTACTTACCAGAAATAAAATAATTTGTAGAAATCCTTGACAGAGCACCATCTGACACCCTGACTGCACATTTGATCCAGTCCAGGACAGAGAGGAGGAGCTCAGTGCCTCGATGGCAGAACTGTGCTGCCTTTTCTCAGAAATGCTGTTCATTCACTCTTCCATCCACCTGTTGTGGGTGTGATTAGGTTCCTATGAGATAGGTATTGTTCTCAGTACTGGGGCATTACAGCAGTGAATAAAATTCATCGTGAAGGAGACAAAACACACACATAAGTCTTGAAAACACATAGTGTGTTGTGGGTAGTAATCGGAAGAACAAGCTAGCAGAGAAGGGGAATAAAAGAATGGGTAATGTGATCTCAAGAGGCCCTCACTGAGAAGATGACATTTGAGTAAAGACTTGGGGCAGAACTAGCCATGTGGAGAAAGAATATTCCAGGTTGAGGGAACAGCAAGGCACAGGTTCTGAGGCTGCATCTTGGCATCACTTTGGTCCAGTGTGATAGATCTCAATTATCCAAATTCAGATTCACCACTTTGTCAGTTATCTGGGTCGCTGTTGGATCCAGTTTAAATGGATGACTCCCTCCCCTTATAACATACACACACACATACACACACTCTTTTTTATTATTAATTTTTATTAGTGAAACACCATGAGGTACAATTGTAGACTTACAAATTTTTGTGCTTGGGTTTCGATTATACAATGATCAAATACCCATCCCTCCACCAGTGCCCATTTTCCACCACCATGTATTCCAATATCCCTCCCACTCCCATCCCCCCATCCCACCCTAACTCTGTGGCAGGGCATTCCCTTTTGTTCTCTCTCTCCTTTTGGGTATTGTGGTCTGCAAAAGAGACATTGAGTGGCAATCATGTTCAGTCCATAGTCTACTTTCAACATGCATTTCCCATCCTGGGAGGATCCTCCAAACACCCTTTATTTGGTCCTCCCTTCTCTGTCTGAGCTGCCCTTTCCCCTAGAATGCCCGGCTGGCCTCTAAGCCATGGAGTAATCCTCCTGGTACTGATCTCGGCTATTCTTGGGTATTAATCTCCTATTTTGTTACTTTATGTCCCCCAGATAAATGCAATCTTTTTATGTCTATCCCTCTCTTTCTGACTCATTTTGCTTAGAATGATACTTTCCATGTAGTACCACTTGTAAGTAAATTTCATGACTTCATCTTTTCTAACAGTTACATAGTACTCCATTATGTAGATGTACCAAAGTTTCTTTAATCAGTCATCTGTTCTTGGGCACTCAGGTTTTTTCCAGATTCTGGCTATTGTAAAGAGTGCTGCAATGAACAAACAAGTGCAGATGTCACTTCGACTATACATTTTTGCCTCTCTGGGATATATTCCCAGGAGTGGTATTGCTGGGTCAAATGGGAGCTCGATTTCTAATTTTTTGAGAATCGTCCATACTGTTTTCCAGAAGGGCTGAACCAGTCGGCATTCCCACCAACAGTGAAGGAGTGTCCCTTTCTCGCCACATCCGCACCAGCATCGGTTGCTTTTGTTCTTTTGGATGTGGGCCAGTCTCTGAAGACACACACTCTTTTAATCCTTCTTCTCCTGGCACTGCATGGGGTTAGCCCCTAGCAAAACCTGGGGGACAGGTATCATACCTACCTCCCTTTCCCAGTAGCACTGAGTGTGGCAGTGATGAGGGACTTCTTCAGAACAGGGATGAGGCCTTCATCTGGGCCTTCATGGGAGTTTTTCTGGACCACCCACAGCAAGAGATAGGCAGTGCAATGGGCTGGGTCTGATCTGAGCCGGAGGGGCCCCAAGCCCCTAAGCCATGTGTCTCTCCCCAGCATCACCTTGGAATTATTCCATGTTCGTCCTGGCCACTTTGGTGGTCCTACTGAGTGCCTTCCTTCTGAGGCGGAACATCCAGGCACGCAGGTGAGGAGCTGGTCCTGGGGGTCTCTGGAAGGGAAATCTAGGGAGGGGTCTTATGGGAGCCTTGGATGTTCTCCCTTTGAGGTGCAAAGTGCAGTTTTCAGTGAGCAGCTGTCATTGATCATCTTTTTTTTTTTCTTTTTTGGGTCATACCTGGCGATGCTCAGGGGTTACTCCTGGCTTTGCACTCAGGAATTACTCCTGGCAGTGCTTGGGGGACCATTTGGGAAGCCAGGGATCGAACACGGGTTGGCTGCATGCAAGGCAAATGCCCTACCCGCTGTGCTATAGCTCCGGCCCCTGTCCTTGATCATCTTGGGCCCTGCAGGGCAGACTGGTGAGGCTCAGGGAGGGTGGCACAGGTCAGGGTTTGAACCCACATTTTCACCAGCAAGGACAGACACTATCTGTGCAGACCCAGTGATCCTTCCAGAAATGGCAACACAGGCCCCATCCTCCTAGGTTCTGGGAGTGACCAGTGTTCCCTCTGCAGAGTCAGGAAACTATTAGTGGAGGAGGCTTGCCCTGATCTGAGTCCAGAGGGCACTGACAGGGACCGGGAAGCAGCTATGAAGGTATTTTTAAAGTTATAAAACAGGGGGGAGTGGTATGGCTCATTGGCAAGGTGCATACCATGCTTGTGTGAGTTTTGGATTTAATCCCCACTATTGCAAAAAAATTAATTTGTAAAATAATATATATAGATATGTGGGAGGGAGTCTCATAGTTGTTATATGTTACTGAGGCCGGAGAGATAATCCAAGGGGCAAGCACATTCCTTTCACGTGGCTGCTGATCCCAGTTCCACCTTCACAGGGACTGGAGTGACAGTACAGCAGGAAAGACATTTGCTTGCATGTGGCATGGTTCAGTCCCCAGCACCACAGGTGGTTCCCCCAACCCTCAAGCACAGACTTTGGAGTAAACCCTGAGCACTGCCAGTGTGGGACTCCCCTACTCTCCCCCCCCCAAACAAAAAGGAATTCACCATTTGGTGGGGAGAGCATTGTAATTCACAGTGCCAGGGGCCAAGCATGGGACACCTATGTGATGGGATCACAGAAATGGGACTGCTGGTGTTTGGAGCGAAGAGAGAGAGGGAGATGGGTGAATGACAGAGACCCAGGACCACGCCTCCCAGACATAGGGACAGCATGCAATGAGCCAGAGGCAGCAGGAGGTCTAGGGATGAGGACAGGCTGAGGGTAAAGGGATGGCAAGACCTTAGGATGGGCCACCCTAAGGAACTCAGATCTAGTTCCTGGGCAATGGGGAATAGGAGCAGGACTTGTTAGAGGAACATGAATGTTTCTGTCAGGATACAGAATGCAGCCGGGTACTGCCACTGCCCTCAGGCCACACCCCCCCCTCCCCTTCAGTGAGGTCAACAAGTACCAAGGTGGGGCCAGAGCGATGGAATGGGGTGGGGGTGCGGTGGGGGAAGGGCACTTGCCTTGCATGTGGTCAACCTGGACCTGATCCCTGATATCCCTTATGGTCCCCTGAGCACTGCTAGGAGTAATTCCAGAGTGCAGAGCCTGGAAGCCTGGAGTGATCCCTGAGCATTGCCAGGTGTGGCCCCCCAAAACAGAAATAAACCAAACCCAAACCCCAAAAAGACAAAACCAAAACAGAACAAAGCATCAAGGTGAAAATGTTCTCTCAGTACAAGTGGACTCCCTGAGCAGAAAGTTCTCACCCTAGCCAGGACCCGCCAAATGGCTAGAAAGTCCAGATGCACCCTAAGGAAACCCCCTAAGTTGGGAAGACACTGGGGGAAGAACTGGAATGGCAGGTTAACAAGGTGGGGCCATGGGGAGCCACTGAAGGTGCCTGAGAAGGGCAGCCATATTTGCCCACCATGTTTCAGGAGCACTGTCAGCACAGGTAGCATCAGTTTTTTGTTTTGTTTGCTTTTTGGGTCACACCTGGCGATGGAAAGGGGTTACTCCTGGCTCATGCACTCAGGAATTACTCCTGGTGGTGCTCGGGGGACCATATGGGATGCTGGGGCTCAAAGCCAGGTCGGCCATGTGCAAGGCAAACACCCTACCCACTGTGCTATCACTCCAGCCTCTAACATCAGTTTTTATTTAGTAAAGATCAGTAATGAAGTGAAACACAAGTTTTAAAAGCTAGCAGTTCACACTTACCTGAGGCAGAATATTGGATGAGGAAATGTATTGCGGTAAAAGAGGGATGCCTAGATCACCCTTGACTCCAGTGTTTAGAGAGGAGAAGGACAGAGAAGGAAAGAAATCAAAGGAAGAAGCATGGGATGGGAAATAATGGCCGAACAGGCATCAGAGGTTCAGTTAAACTGGTGATATGGGCGAGTGGTATAGCCATATATCCAAAACACAGACCCAACAGCGCTGGAAATATGAGACCTAAGATGCAACCACTGGAACTTTTTAAGGTGCCTGTCAAGGTGACAGGCGGGGATGGAGTAGTGGTAGGGGGTGGGGAGGAAATATGGGAATACTGGTGGAGGGAAATTGACATTGGTGATGAGATTGGTGTTGAAATATTACATGCCTAAATCCCAACTATCAATAATTTTTTAAGTGACAGTTCTTTAATAAAGAAGGGGAAAAGTTAACAAATAAAACAAAGGAAAAAGCTATTAGTGATCAGTGCAGAAAAGTTTCCCTTTCTGCCACAATTTGAATGCAGAATTAATTAGCTTCTGAACTAAAATACAAGGAAAATGGAGTCACTTGATTCTTGATACAGTGAATATGAACTCAATTTTCAGTTCTTCTTTCTATAAATTTCCACAACTAGAGATTATGTTAGGGACAGAGTTCAGTTCTTGGATTAGAATTAAATGCAGGCTCTTGGAGTCATAGCCTTCCACCTGTAGTTTTTGTTTTGGGGTCACACCAGGTAGTGCTCAGGGCTTCCTCCTGGGGCTCTGTGCTCAGGGAAGAACTTCTGGCAGTTCTCAGTGGACGTATGGGGTGTCAGGGATTGAACCAGGGTCGGCTGCATGCATGACAAGGGCCTTACCCGCTGTTCTATTGCTCCGATCCAGCCCTACCTTTACCCCTAAAAGCAGTAATCGCTGAGCTCACAGGGGCACGAGGGTTTGGTGAGATGATACACAGTGGGCAGAAGCTGTCTCTCCACTGAATACTTCAAACTTCTTGGCTTTCTTCCCCAGTGCTTCCACATTGGATTTCCCTCTCAGACCCACTTGTCCATTTGTTTTTTGTTTTTTCTTTTTGGGTCACACTAGGCAATGCTCAGGGGTTACTCGTAGCTCTGCCTTCAAGAATTACTCCTGGTGGTGCTCAGGGGGATCATATGGGATGCTGGGAATCGAACCGGGGTCAGCCACTCATGCAAGGCAAATGCCCTACCCACTGGGCTATCACCCCAGCCTCGCCCACTTGTCCATTTGGGAAGCTGGATCCTGCCCCAGCCCCTCAGTCGCCTGGCTAAGGGAACTCACTCTCATCAGGCTTCTCTCTCACCCAGAAACCAAAAGTTGCAGACAGCAGAAAAAACAAAACAGACTGTAGAACTTCAGGACACCACGGAGGCCAGAATCAAAGATGACAACAGCCTGAACATGGTTACAGAGACTCTGCTCTCAGAAAAACCCAGCTTGGCCCAGGAAGAAACTAAACTCACAGAGTCAGCTGTACCTGCAGCTTTCCTTCCAGACCCACAAGAGTCTGAGAGCTAACAGAGCCTCCATGGCAGCATATAAAAATGAATGAACAATTAAACTAAAATCCTGTATGAAAAAAGAAAACATCCTTTTTTTTTTAATAAAATGCTTCTGAAAGTGGGCAATTGGACTGGCACAGTTTGTTCCCATGCAGACGGTCTACATACAAGTGAGTTGGAGCAAAAGCACAAATTCCACAGTTCCCTTGTGGCTCTGACAGCCTGGCCAGGATGACCCCTGGCATCCACAGGCTCCCTCTGACCTCAGCATTTCCATCCATAGAATGGGGTTAAGACTGGCTTAGAGTCGTTGTCTTCTTGTTTTGTTTTGTTTCATTTCATTTGTCCCACAAGGCCTTTGTAGGGATCAGATCTGGTTTCTTGCAGCAAAGAACCTTGCCCAAGCTGATGTTTTCAACGCAAACTCCTAGAACTGCGAAGAGGGGCCAAAGCAGTTCCTATTCTGTCCCTTCCTCTCCAAAAGCTTTCCTTATTATTATTTTCTTGTTTGGGGGTTACATCTGGCTGATCTCAGGGCTTCCTCCTGGTTCTGTGCTCCAGGATCATTCCTGGCAGGCTTGGGGGACCATATGGGTCCTGCTGAGCACCCTACCCACTGTACTTTCACTTTGGCCCTCAGGCTTCTCTTCTTTACCACTTATCTGCTAAGGGTCCAGGAAAGACCTATTTTGTTTTTCAGGTTTTGGGTTTTCTTTCGTTTGTTTTGGGGGCCACATCTGGCAGTGCTTAGGGCGATCTCCTGGCTCTGTTCTCAGGGATCACTCCTGACAGGACTTAGGGAAGCACACAGGGTGCTGGGAATTGAACCCAGATCAGCCACGTGCAAGGCAAACTCTCTGCTGTACTATCCCGCTGGTCCCAGAAAGAACTACTTTGGACAAGAGACTCCCTAGTAAAGAAAACTATGCCTCTGAGACCCTTTTCTGGCTAATCCCGGGACCCCCGGGGAGGGTCCTGATCTTGCATCTGAATCATAGTGTAGTGGGACAACCCCAAATAAATTATACAGGACCATGTTTGAGGAACTGAAAATGCTTTAGCTTCTACCTTACAAAAGTAGACTTGGAATCTGCAGATCCACAGACTGCACTCTGGTGTTTACTACCGCTTGTTCCAGGGCGCGTGTCCTACTGCCTGCCGTGGCCCAGAACAATTGTCACTGAAGGAAATTTGGCTCTGCAGCTCAATCATGAAACTTGAGGAGGCTGGTGCTAAGACACAGCCAGCGGCCACAAGTGGGAAAACAGGACAACAACCGCCTCCAGTGAAAACCCCGAGGCTCCTCCTGGAGAGATGAGCTGGGATCTAGCCCTCCTGGGCCTTTGCTTCTGCCCTGCAGGATTATTTTAAGCGTTTTTTTTTTATTTTCATAGGGGCTGCAGCAGGCCTGGTAACACAATGGTAGGCCACAAGGCCCCCCTCAGGCTTGCTCAGGGCTTATGCAGTGCCAGATGGTCTCAGGGCTTCAACCCATGCCCAGTGTAGCTCTACCCACCTGAGTTTCTTCATTTAGATTTAACTGGGATCCACAGTGGGGTGAGTTGGGCTGCACCCGTTCACCAAGTGGGTGTCAGGCCTTTGTGTGACCGCTTCTCAGCCCCACCACTCTGAAGGATACATCAGAGCATCCGCTAGGGTCTCCATCTGCCATGGTGCGGCAGGAAGGGATGATGACACCATGACAGACACTGTCCCAGCCTCCACCTTGAGACTGAGCAGGGAAGGGCGCACTGTCATGGTTGCCATGGAAACAAGCACTCTCTCTCTCTCTCTCTCTCTCTCTCTCTCTCTCTCTCTCTCTGGGGCTTGGGCTTGGGTTGGGGCCCGGGGTGGTGCTGCGTCAGAAACAAAGGCGGGGGCCAACCCAGGCATGGTCCCCCCAGTCCTAGGGACCCTCAAAAGATCTTGAAGCCCTTCAGCAGAGTCAGTGTGGGTGCCTTGCGCTTGCTCTGGGCCCGAGAAGACTTCACGGTGACCAGCTTGGCCTGGGCCACAGCCGGCATCTCCTTCAGGCTGACGGTAGAAAGTGTGTTGAAGGTGCAGCTGGCCAGGCTGTGGCCGGCAGCCAGTGGGGCCTGATGGGTCGGGAACCGCTCCTCCAGGGAGAAGAGGGGCCGGGTAGGGGGCCTCTTCTCCAGCTCCCGCCTGGCCTCCCGCACCGCCTCGTGGAAGACGTGCTGCACATGCTCGTGGTCCAGGCAGGCGGACACCTCGAAGAACAGGCAGCCGAATCTGGCTGCCAGCGCCGCGCCCTCTGCCTCTGTTACCTGCCTGGGGAGGAAGCAAGGCGAAACCTTCAGGCAGGCCGGTGTGTATCTCCTTCCCTGCATCTCTCTGGGCCTCAATGGTCTCATCAATAAAATGGGACGACTATGAGCTGCCTCTCAGGGATGTTAGGAAGATGGAGAAATAGCAGATGCAGCAAAGGCTCCCAGCCAGTGCTCAGTGAGGAGGAGGCTGGGTTTGGACGGGAAGCAGCAGGCCACAATCCTCAAGCCAGACCCGGGCTGAGGCTGGTGAAGGTGGTTCTCTCCTGCTCCCGCCAGGAAATGAGGCGCCCTGGCTTGGGAGGAAAGGCCCTGAGAGGCAGGGAGGGACCCCGTGTTTCATGCTGGCCTGTGCTTGGCAATACTCTCCCTGTGATCTGCCAGGCAGAAGAGAAATGGGGGGGGGGGGTGCCTCCATATTTCTGGGAAAGGAATGAGACAGAGGGAAGAAGTGGTCTCTATTTCCAGCTTTGTCCAATACCATCTCTGAATGGTGTGGTCAGATATTTACAAACCAGGAAGGTTCTGGAAGCTTCTGACCCATTTTTTTTCTTTTGCTTTTTGGGTCACACTCAGCAATGCACAGGGGTTACTCCTGACTCTGCACTCAGGAATTACTCCTGGCGGTGCTCAGGGGACCATATGGGATGCTGGGAATCGAACCCCGGTCAGCCGCGTGCAAGGCAAACACCCTACCCGCTGTGCCATTGCTCCAGACCCAGGTTCTGGGAGCTTCTGAATGCCATAGGAATTGAAGAGAAAGGGAAAAAAAGACTGGATCTCAGGCAGTTCAGATTTCTGGAAGAGGGGAAGGTCCCTGAAGTCTTGATGTCAATGTTGCAGTGGCGAATCCCACCTAGCCAGCATGAAACACGAGGCCCCTCTCTGCCTCTGGGGCCTTTCCTCCCAAGCCAGGGGGCCTCATTTCCCGGCTGGAGCAGGAGGGAGCCATCTTTACCAGCCTCAGCCTGGGCCTGGCTTGGGGATCGTGGCCTGCTGCTCCCCGTCTGAGCTGCCTCTCCTCATTCCAGCCTCAGTCCTGAGGCCAGTGGCCCGGGCTGGGGGATGACAGGAGAGAAGAGGGTGGGGACAACCTAGCTGAGAGGGGCCTCTGGGAGAGCCAGAGTGAGAAAGATGGCAAAAAGGGCCAGGAGGCTCTGAGAGACAGCATAGGAATAAAGGCACCTGCTCTGCCCTTCACGAAACCCAGTTCCAGTCTGGGCGTTGAATATGTCCCTGAGTACTGCCAGAGACCACGGCTTAGTATAGAGTCAGGAAGAGCCTCTGAACACTGCTCGCTTACCCCAAAACCAAAAACAAATAAACAACAACAAAATACATGAGAGATCAGGACAGAACAGGTAATAATTCTTTCCCCACCCAGGCTGGTGTCTTGCCTCAGCTCAGCAGTTCCCAAGGAAACCCTTTAGCAAAACGATCTTGCATTATTTACCTTTTTTTCTTTCTCTTTTTGTTTATTTAGTTTTGGAAGACACCCAGCGATGCTCAGAACTTATTCCTGCTCTGCGTTCAGGAATCACTCCTGGTGGTACTTGGGGGACCATATGGAATGTCAGGGATCGAACCTGGGGCAGCCACATACAAGGCAAGTACACTACCCACTGTACTATCTCTTTGGCCCCATTATTTACTTTTTTTTTTATGAACTTGAATCTGAATCTGTAGCAGAGGGGCTTAAAAGAACCCTTTTTGAAACAAGGGCCCTGTGTGGACATGCTCATGTGTGAATGGGTGACCAGGCAGGTAAATTATCCTGTTTTTAATTTTTCTGCAATCTAGTGAGGCTGGAGCGATAGCACAGCGAGTAGGGCATTTGCCTTGCGCGTGGCCAACCCGGGTTCAATTCCTCCGTCCCTCTCCAAGAGCCCAGCAAGCTACCGAGGGTATCTTGCCCGCATGGCAGAGCCTGGCAAGCTCCCCATGGAATATTCAATATGCCAAAAACAGTAACAACAAGTCTCACAATGGAGACATTACTGGTGCCCATCCAGCAAACTGATGAGCAATGGGAGGACAGTGCTACAGTGCAGTCTAGTGAAAATATATTGGTGGCTTGGGAACCACCACTCTATCTAAACCACATTTTATCTTTGGCTGCAAGACTATCATGGGAAACTCTGACCAATTCTCAGCCACCAGGCAGCTTCACTGGACCAATCAAATCCCCACTACATCCTGGGCATATGATTAGAAATAGAAATAGCAATGAATTGTAACAACGTGTTCTTAGAGGACTGATATTACTTCATATAAACCCCCATATTCTTGTTATTCTCTCATGAGTCACTTTTTAGACAATTCCTTTGGAAACGAGCAAAACAAAAACAGTGATCCAGCTTGTTTTTCTTTCCTATTGAAAACCGGTTTATTCACAATTAGATCTTGTGATGTCTCTCTCTGCACCTGGGCTCTGTGATCCTCAAATACAACCTTTTGTTTTGGTTTTTGGACCACACCCAAGCAGTGCTCAGGGCGAGTAAGCACTGCTTGGCACTGGGGGATCACTCCTGGCAATGCTCAGGAACCCACACAGGGAGGTGGGGATTGAACGCTGGTTGGCCAAGTACAAGGCAAATGCCTGCCCTCTGTACTGTCTCTCTAGTCCCAAGGCCACCTTTTGCTCAGACAACTTCTCTAATTCCCTGGGATGGAATGTGGGTCTCTGGTTTGACCAATATTTGAGGACTCTCCCCTGATGGGTCATTTCAGGACTGCACCTATCACTGGCCATGGCCATCTGACCTGCTAGCCCCTCCTTGCTAACTCCATTAAGCAGATCTTTGGGAACTGACCGACTTGTGTAGGGGAGGTGGGGGAAAGGCTAGTGGAAGGTGACCAGTGGCTCAGACAGTAGGATTACTCAAGTGGAGAGGTTAGCCTCACATCAGAAGCTGTGGCCTTCTCTAGCCCAGGAACATTGCAGTTCCTGGGCTGAACCAATAGCACAGCAGGTAGGGTGTTTATCTTGCACATGGCCAACCCAGGTTCGATTCCCAGCATCCCATATTGCCCCCCAAGCACCGCCAGGAGTAATTCCTGAGTGTAGAGTCAGGAGTAACCCCTGTGCATCTCCGGGTGTGACCCAAGAAAAGCAAAGCAAAAAAAAAAAAAAGCCAAACATTCCAGTTCTAGGTCTTTTCAAACATTCTGCCAGATAAGCCAGACAAGGCAGCCGGTGGTCCCAGGCTCTGTCTGTGGGCTTTGAACCCAATGCAACCCTTTGCCACCAGCTGGGCAGAAGAGATCCCAGCACCTCCCTGGCTAGACTGAAAAAAAGATTTGGTTGACCTAAAGCAGTCACCTGACAGGAGGAACCAATCAGAGCTGAATCAATGTGTGGCCAGCCTGGAACAGCATGGGAACTCCAGGTCAAACAGTCACTTGAAAAAGGGTGAGGCTGGAGACCACAGAGCCCCAGGAGGATGGAAGACCCGCCCGGCAGTGTGTGGTCCATGTGCCTTTCCCATGTAAGCCTGTGCCCCCTGGTCCCCTCTGCCCCCCACTTTCACCTCAATGTGTGTTGTGTGTTGTGTGTTGTGTGTGTGTGTGTGTGTTGTGTGCCTCTGTTCTTAGTGGTTTCACCTTCCCAGAAAATGACCCACAGCCGCTGCTGATGGGGTGAGTGAGCCCCAGGGCAGTGGGGCGAGGCCGCACTCACCTGTACTGCGCCATGTCCAACTTGTTGCCCAGGAGCAGGGCCGGGCAGCCACGCTGCGTCTCTCTGGCGTGCAGAGCCAGGAGCTCCAGGTAGTTGCTGCTGCTCTCGAAGCTCTGGCGGTTGTCCACGCTGTACACCACCAGGAAGGCATGTGCCCAGTTCAGATAGCGCTCACAGTTCCGGGGGATGTCCTGGGGCAAGCGATGGGCAGCTGAAGTTCTCCCCCTGGCCGCCCCAGCCCAGGCCTCGCCTTGTCTTGGCATCTTATTCCCCAGAAGAGCCCATTCTACAGGGGCACTTGAGTGTTACTTGGCTGTGGGTGAAAGAAGGCTCACTTCCACCATCCAACCTGGGCCTTTGGGGCACCGAGCCGATTCTGGCAGGCCTCGACCCAGATTGGGCTAGCCTGGGCATCTCCAGTTTGGGGTTGGGTTCCTGGATCCCCTTTGGTTTCTGGCCTGGTGGGGGCTGTGTGCCCTGGAGTAGGGGTGGCACCCGAGTAAACACCTGTGTCACCTGCTTCTGTGTGGCCCTCACGACATGTGGACAACCTGGACAGAACCTCCCACTGAACAGCACCAGGGGCCACTCAATGGAACATGCCATGGGGGCCGGGACCGCGCCCCAGAGCTCAGGATCTCAAGAAATGCCAGCGAGCACCCGGTCTCCCCAGCCCTGGGCCCAGAGTGGTCAGAGCCCTATCGGGGGTCAGAGGGCCAGTAGGCCTGCAGAGGGAGATGAGTGCCCTGCTGAAGAGCTGTCCCTGGGTACTGACAGCCCTGGAGGAGGCAGCAGGGGGGGCATTACCGGGTCTGCGGTGTCCATGACTCTCAGGTGGACAGGCTGGTGGTCCACAGTCTCCTCCAAGCTGTAGGTGTCCTCTACAACACAGACATTCCGCCAGGTGAGGGCAGGCATCCCTCTGCCCACACAGGGGGCCTGGGCCTGAGTCCCAGGGCTCCTTGCCACAGGACCCCCAGGTCTGGCTGAGCTGGGGCCACCAGGATGGCCTTGGCCCTCATGACATGTAGACAACCTAGACAGAACCTCCCACTGAACAGCACCAGGGGCCACTCAATGGAACATGCCACAGGGGTCGGGACATGCTGCAGGAGAGATCTGTCAGCAGCACAGGCCTCAGTGGCTCTGCTGGCCTCTCCCTCCCAACAGGGCATCCCCCCTTCCCCTCCAACCACAATCCTGACGATCCTGCCCCAGGAGAAGAGACAAGACCAGCAGAAGCACAGGCAATGGTGGGGGAGGGGTTGGGGTGGGGGGTAAATGGAGGAATCCGAGAAGATTTTCCCACCCACATCTTCCTGCAAGCTGTCTAGTGACCTGAGAGTTGCAGGTCATAGATGTGGCCTAGCTGTCACTAAGCAAATCAGATCTCTGAATACACTTTCTCAATTTTTTTCCCTTCAAATTCATTATGTCAATTATTTGACTATCATTTTCTCAAGTAATTCAGCTAAACAGTGTCAAACTTTCACTCTATAAAAAGAGTTCTGGGGCCGAAGTAGGAGGTCGGGTGTTTGCCTTGCACACGGCCAACCAGGGTTTGATTCCCAGTATCCCACATGGTCCCCTGAGCACCGCTGCAAGTAATTCCCAAGTATAGAGCCCAAGAAGTAACCCCTGAGTATCACCGGGTGTGGCCCCAAAACAAAAGCAGAAAATTAAAAAAATGAGTTTTGAGGGCGGAAGATAGTACAGTGGTACTTGCCTCGCATGGGGCCAGCCTAGGTTGAATCCCTGGAACCCCTTATGGTCCCCCAAGCTCACCAAGAGTGGTCCCTGAGAGCAGTCAGGGAGTAAGCCTTGAGTGCTTCCAGGTGTGACCCCAAACAAAACAAAGTGAGTACCCTGGGCGGGAGCGAGCTCAGTGGGCTGGGACATTTTTGCCTGCAGTAGTTTCCCAGAACATAGCCAGGAGCAACTCTCCACACGTTAGTACAGAGCTTGGAACTGGCCCTGAGCGCTGGCAGGAGTGGTTCAGATGCCAGCCCCCAAGAAAACAGTGATGCCCATTTACTTTTTGAGACCTTGAAACTGACTGTAAAGGACCCTTGGAACATCAGTGTTTACAGGCAGGTCATGTTCCTGGGGGCGGGGGGGGGGGGGCTTTTATACTTCTTATTTTGAAATAATGTTAGCCTCAGGAAGAAGGTATAAAATAGACAGCAAGTTCCCTTGTGCCCTTCTCTCCCCCCATGCGCGCCCCTACCCTCATTCCACCCAGACTGATGGTCAGGAACTCGACATTGGTGCCTGTCCACGAAGTCAGTTATGTCCCTTATTTGGATTTCACGAGATCTTCCCTTTTTCCCTCTCACTTCTCATGACCTCAGCTCTCCAGGGGAGCAGTGAATGTCCTAGCATGCAGAGGGCACCTCAGGAACCCCCTTCCCAGGCACTCCCGAAGGATCCCAGAGAAGGCCCTGCTGGGAGGAACTGGGGTCCCCTCTCTCTGCCTTCCTGGAAGCAGAGCACCCCAGTCCTGGCTAGGTCCTCTCTGAGGGCAATTGGCTGCCACGCCAGGCCTGGACATACGCCAGCCGCCAGCAGGAATCACAGCTCCTGTCCCCAGCCAGCTCCGGGGACTTGGCTAAATAACTGCTCTTATTCATAGACAAAAAAAAAAAAAAATCGAATGGAAAATATGCCCCAAACGTTTAACTATATTTGGTCCAAGAAGCGAGTCCCAGAGACTCCCTCTTGTGAGCCTTCCCTTTGTCTTCTCCCCGCCGTTGTCTGATGCACCCCCTGTATTGCACCCTAAAAGGCACCTGACAGGCACCTAACAGGCACCAGCCCAGGGAAAGCATGAGCTCCGCCTTGGTCTCCTGTGGTTGTGTGGACCCTGGTCAGTGCTCTTAGCAGGAGGTCAGAAGCAAGGCCTGAGAAGGAGGAAGATCGTCCAGCCACATGTACCAGGAACTTGAACTCAGCGGCTCTGTTTCCGCAGAGCCTCCGGGAAGGGCCTGAGCCCAGGGCCGCTGACACTGGCGGGCAGGTGAGCAGGGTGAGAAGCTCCAGTGAAGACTGGATCCAGAGCCCCCGACCCTGCTCACAGGGAGGGCCCTGCAAAGGAGGGGTGGGGGGCCCTTTCCAAGTGGCAGTAGTGTCCTCTCTTGTTATCACCAGGTCTCTCCTGTCAGCCTCTCTGGTGATCCCCTGAGCAGTGTGGCTTCACCTACCACTCTAAACTCAGTCTCAGTTCCAGTTCCACTTCAGCTGGGCTGGAGGACACTCTCCTCCCCACGCATCCTGCACTTGCTGGTCTAAGAGCATCGCATGCACTAAAGGAGGAGGGAGGCATGATCAGACAGTTTGAGCCTGATGATGCTCAGAAGCGGGGGTGGGCTGCTCTCACCCTTGTGAGAGGCAGAGTACCAGGGTGTTCCTGGAGCATGACCACATGCATTCTCTCTCTCTCTCTCTCTCTCTCTCTCTCTCTCTCTCTCTCTCTCTCTCACACACACACACACACACACACACATACACACACACACCTGGGACTCACTAGGCAGAGGTCTTTCACAAACACACCCCCTCCCCACCTCATTCACAACCCCAACCTGAAGCAAGGCTCAGCTCTTTGAGGGGCCACAGGTCAGGATAGGTCGACACTTGCTTTGCATGTGTGAGGCCCTTTGCACCTCAAAAGAAAGGGGGACAGGGGAAGAGAAAGGAATGAAATGGAGGGAAGGGGACAAGAGGGAAATAGAAGGGGAGAGGGAAGAGAGGGGCCGAAAGAAAGAGATGGGAAACCAAGGTACAGAAAGCCCAATCCTCAGAGCTGGACTCTGCCAGCACAGTGTACTGTGTGGACAGTGGCTGGGGTGGTGTCATCTTCCTTGGGCCTGAGGATCTCCATAACTTGGACAAATCATGAAGTTTCAATTTCTTTATCTATAAAATGGGAAAATGATAGAATCTCTTCTCTCTCTCTCTCTCTCTCTCTCTCTCTCTCTCTCTCTCTCTCTCTCTCTTCTTTTTGTATCACGCCCAGCGATGCTCAGGTGTTACTCTTGGCTCTGCACTCAGGAATTACTCCTGGTGGTGCTTGGGGGACCATGTGAGATGCCAAGGATTGAACCCGGATCGGCTGCATGCAAGGCAAACACCCTACCCGCTGTGCTATTGCTCAGGCCACAGAATCCCTTCTCAAGCCCTGCCCCAGCCGCCTGTTTCAGAGCATCTGAATGATTCTGGGCTCAGGCTGGAAATGGCAATAGATAACTGGGCTCCTCACCCTCAAGACTCTCTTTCAACTCAAACTCTTGGAAGAACTTTGGGGGTGGGTGAAAGAGTTATTTCCCATCTCTTAAGAGCTAACTCTTGGCGGCTGGAGCAGTAGCCAGCAGGTAAGGCATTTGCCTTGCACGCAGCCGACCCGGGTTCCACATGGTTCCCTGAGCACTGCCAGGAGTGGTTCCTGAGTACAGAGCCAGGAGTAACCCCTGTACATTGCCAGGTGTGACCCAAAATAAGGAAAAACAAAACAAAACAACAACAACAACAACAACAAAAAAGAGCTAACTGTCGGCTGGAGGGAGAGTGAGTACAGGGACCAAGGCACTTGCTGGGTTCAATCCCCAGCACCACATCAGAGTGATTCCTGAGTGCAGAGCCAGGAATAGCCCCTGAGCACCGGTAGGATGCCCCAAAACAGGAAGGGAAGGAAGAAAAAAGGAGAATGAGCCTTGTACTGGGTGCTCATGCCTTCACACAGAAGGGCAGGCTCTGGCTCAGACTCCCACTCTGTTGCTGCAGCCCCCCAAGGGGTGGGGGTGTCAGAGACCCAAGCAGGTGGCACTGGTTCCCCCAGATGCTTTCAGGGGGGTGTCTGGGCAAATCTCCAGGTCCTAGCTCTCGGGGTAGATAGAGGGCAAGCGCAGAGGCCACAGGGGCTGACCAGCGCCTGTCAGCTCCCAGAGCGCTCCACCACAGCCAGGCAGACTTGCACTCTGAGAGGCTTCTGGGGTGGGGGGCTGCGTGAAGGCTCTGGAGTGGGGGACAGGGAGAGAGAGACAGGAGAAGTGGTTCCAGATAAAATTTAGGAAGCACAGTCACAGTTTAATTCCAGATGGGGGTGGGATTGGGTATAGTAGGGAGGGCCCTTGCCTAACATGGCGATTGGGGTTCTATTTCTTTCACCCCATATGGTCCCCCAGCCCCTTCAGGAATAATCCCTGAGCACCAAGCCAGGAGTAAGCCCTGAGCACCAAGCTAGGAGTAAGCCCTGAGCACCAAGTCAGGAGTAATCTCTGAGCACCAAGCCAGGAGTAAGCCCTGAGAACCAGGCCAGGAGTAAGCCCTGAGCACCACTGGATACAGCCCAAAAACAAATGAAAAATTCCAGATAATGAGCAAATACACTTTAGCATAAATATGCCCTTTGTGCAGGTTTGGGGTGGGGGGGCTGGATCTGCCTTTGAGGCACCGTTTGTGCATGGAAGCCAACTTTCCACCCCTAGAGAGCCCTGTTTGCGCTTTCCCAAACCCTCCTCACCCATCCTTGATTTCCCCCACTCCATTTAATCCATGTTCTGCTCCCCCAACCTCCACCTCAGCAGCACCCAGCACCCTGTGTCCCATTCCTCCCATGAGACAGGGACCCCCTTCAGGACCCAGAGCGGGGAGGAACCAAGCTGGGAACAGACCCCTAGGGACTGCCAGCGAGTCACCTCCCCTGCACCCCTAACTTAACCAGGCAGCCCCTTGGGGTTCTGGGAAAGATCTTTGGTGGTTTTTATTTGGTTTTGGTTCGGGGGGCACAACTAGCAATGCTCAGGGGTTACTCCTGGCTGGGGGTCCATATGGGATGCCTGGGGATTGAACCTGGGTTGGCCACATGCAAGGCAAATGCCTTACCTTCACTGTACCATCGCTCGGGCCCCATGGGGAAGATCTTTGAATGATAATTCTGCAACTTTTGGACCAAAGAGCTGAGACCCAAGGAAGCCCACTCTGCCCAGAGTTGCAGGTGCCCAACAGAGGCTGGGCTGCACTGTGGGTGCTCCCTCTGTTGTCAGAGTCCAGCCGGCCAGGGCAGCAGCCAGGACTGTAGGGAAGGCCTGAGACACACCATGGTGCTTTTCTCTCCCCATAAAAGCTTGATTCCGTCTTCAGAAATAGGAAAAACAAGCTAAAACAACATTTCCCAATTCCTAAAGGTTATGAACATCCCTATTTTTCTCACTGGACCACTTACAACACACAACTGCTGGAAAAGTGGACTTCCAGATGCCTGGGACATTCCTACCCGTGAGATTCTGCTTCTGTGCTGCAGACTGGGGTTCTGTGCAGCAGGGATCTGAGGAGAAGGCCATGCTGCAGAGAGGGAGCTTCAGGAACCCCGTTCTAACTAATTACAGAGATTGCAGAGACAACGCTGGACTGCGGATGCATCTTTCTTTTTTGTTTTTTTTTTCTTCTTTTTAGTTTCTGGGTCACATCCAGCTGTGCTCAGGGGTAAGTTACTCCTGGCTCTGCACTCAGGAATTAGTTCTGATGGTACTCTGGGGACTACATGGGGTTCCAGGAATCAAACCCTGGTTGGACGGCAGGGAGGACAAGCGCCTTCCCTGCTGTACTATTGCTCTAGTCCTGATCACTTTTCTTAATCTTCTGTCTTTCTCTAAATCTTTTTTTTTCTTTTGTGCCACACCTGGGTGGGTTCAGGGTTTACTCCTGGCTCTGCCCTCAGGGGCCACTATGGAGTGCTCAGGGATCATATGTGGTATTAGGAATTCTTACTTTGGACAACCTGGCAGGCTACCGAATATAACCTGCCCACACGGCAGAGTCTGGCAAACTCCCCGTGGCATACCCAATATGCCAAATACCAGTAACAATGATGGGTCTCATTCTCCTAACCCTGAAAGAGCCTTGAATATGGCACTTTTTAAAATCTCAGGGCGAGGATGAAGGAGATGTTACTGGTGCCTGCTCGAGGCAATCGACAAACAAGAGGATGATCATGATCATGATCAGGAATCAAAAATCAAAGACTCAAACATGGCTCAGTCCCATGCAAGGAAAAAGTCTGACCCACTGTACTATCACTCTAGGCCTCTCTCTCTCTCTCTCTCTCTCTCTCTCTCTCTCTCTCTCTCTCTCTCTCTCTCTCTCTCTCGTTTGTTGTTTTTGGGCCACACTTCATGGTGCACAGGGCTTATTCCTGGCACTGCCCTCAGGAACCACTCCTGGTAGGGGTCAGGAAATCATATAGGGTGCTGGGGATCAAACCCACGTACCCTTATGTCTGTTTATAGGAGAGGAGACAGGTTCAGAGAGGTTCTCCAGCTGCTGAGGTTGCACAGCCAATAGGGGGCAGGGGCAGGATTATAGCTCAGCTCTGATCTCACTACTCCATGATATGGCTATAAAACAAGTTTTTGTGTATGGCTGTCAAAAGCCACACCACTAGAGCATTTCTCACATGTCCAGTTTTTCTGGAAAAGCACATTGAGAGAACATCTTTAAGAAAAATATTTAATGGATATGGATGTTCTGTGTGTTTTATTTTTATTCTGGTTCCCGTGCTGCACCCAACTATGCTCAGGGCTGACTCCCAGTTCTGCACTCAGGAATCACTCCTGGGGGGGTGGGGGCTCGGGGGACTATTCTCTGGGAATCAAGCCCTGATTGGCTGCAAGCAAGGTGAGACCCTGCCCACTGTATCTCTCCAGCCTATATTTGATTTTTTTTCCCTAGGGGCCATACCCAGCAGTTGGGAGGGAGAGGGGATATTCAGTGCTGAGGATAAAATTGATGCTAGGCATGTGCTCCATCACTTGAGCTATGTCTCCAGCTCCTAAATTGTTTTTTAGTCCTTGTTTGTTTGGATTTTTTGGGGGGGGGCTGAGGTGCCCCCAAGTAGTAGTCAAGAGGCCCAGGGTCCGAAAACCTCCGGAACCCAACTGCCGTCATGCTCATGGCCAATCTCCACAGGCTCGGGACAAGCCCCTCATGCATGAGAATGTATCTGCTGTATCAGGTATGTGGATTTTGTGATGGAAATCTCCAGGCTCTGTGGAGTTGGGAATGGTGACCTCTCCCCATCTCCTTGTCTTTCCCGGAGCCTGGCGGTCACACCCATGAACTGCCTCCAGAGTCATATAACTTCATTAATGGCCATGATCCAGAGACTCACAAATAAATCTCGGAAGAAAGCAACAAGCTGCAGAGATGCTTCTGGATCCCAAAGTCATTTCCAGTTGTATCACCCTATTTAAAATTTTAGGATCCCTGAAGCGCACAGCTGCATTTGCTGCTGTGCAAGATTTCATATTCTACTTGCACTGACGTACCAAGAGTAGCACATCACAATTGATGGGGTTAAGGTAGAAAGCAAGTGATCTCATCCTAAAATAAGTAAGTAAATATTAGCACTGTCACTGTCCTCCCATTGTTCCTCGATTTGCTGGAGCAGGCCCAGTAACATTGTGAAACTTGTTGTTACTATGTTTGGTGTATCGAATACCGCAAGGGTAACTTGCCAGGCATTGCCAGTTCGGGTTAGATACTCTTGGTAGCTTGCAGGGCTCTCAGAGAGAGGTGGAGGAATCGAACTCGGGTTGACCAGGTGACCTCGTGCAAGGCAAATGCCCTACCCACTGTGCTATCGCTCCCGCCCAAATATTAGCACACAAGGCAACATGTAACAACATGTTGGTAATCTCTTATACAAGGGCTTAATGGCTCTGGGGTGAGATACAACAATTTTCACACACTTTCCTCTAAGGAAACTTTTTTGGATCATTTTTAACTCATTATTTATAATAAGCCATACAAAATAAATTATTTAGGACCTGCTTTTGGGGCAGGCTTGGGTGGTGGTGGGGAAATTCAAAATAATGGTGGTGGGTAGGAGTTATGGCGGTGGGATTGGTGTTGTAATATTGAGTGTAAAAAATTATTGTGAACAACTTTATAAAAATAAAATAAAATTGGAAAAAAAAACCCCAGAGGCCCAGGGCCCTTTCCAGAAATTCTCAGCCCCAATCAGGCCAGAGATTCAATGCAGAATCCTGTGGTGCTCAGGAGTACACAGGCCAACCCAATGATACTGTGATACTGCGGTGGGGGTGTTCAGGGTGGTACCCTGAGATGCTCGCTCGGGACCAGGTGGTGCCTGGGATCCTACTGGGACAGCTTCATGAAGGCATGCCCCTTAAGCCCTGTACTATTCCCCAGCCCCTCTTATTTATTTATTTATTTTGCTTTTTGGGTCACACCCAGCACAGGGGTTACTCCTGGCCCATGCACTCAGGAATTACTCCTGGCAGTGTTCTGGGGACCATATGGGATGCTGGGAATCAAACCTGGGTCGGCCGCGTGCAAGGCAAATGCCCCACCCTCCGTGTTATCACTCCAGTCCCTCTTATTTATTTTTTAAGTCTCATCACACCTCATGTTTTAGTACATCAACTCTCCACTCTCCCGTCAGAACCAAGCCCCCAGTTGCCTGGGTGGGGTCTGGGAAAGGTTTGTTCTGGATCTTATATTGTGGTCCCTGAGTGACTCTTCCTGGGAGGTCTTGTCTCTACCCACAGAGGGGCAGATGTGGTCATGCTGGACCCTCTAGGTGAGGACAGGGATCCAAGTAGGGTGGGGCAGAAGGAAGGGATGCGGAGTGTCTTACCCAAGTTGGGGTCGTATTCACTGATAAACCTCCTGGTCAGAAACTTCACAGTCAGTGCTACAAGAGACAGAAAGAACCCAGCTCAGACTCCTTGGTGCTGTGCTCTCCTTCTCGCTCCCCTGGACTCCCTCCAAGAAGGAGGGGGTGAGGAGCTGGTATGAGAGGCTCAGAAGCCAGAACCAAAGACTACCACATCCAGATCAGTGCACCATTGATGGTTTGTTTTTTCACACAAGAAAAAAGCAATGAGGATTCAATCTCCATCATCCCATATGGTCATCCAAGCCCTCCAAGAGCCCTCCCTGAGTGCAGAGCCAGGAGTAAGCCCTGAACATTGCCAGGTGTGACCCAAAACCAAAAAGAAAAAAGAAAAGAAGAGAAAAGCAAAACAAAGCAATGAGAGGCACAAGCCTGGGGCAGTGGAGGGGTGGGGGTGGGGCAGGATGCTGTTTGCAAAGATCCCAACCAACTCAGGAATCAGGACTCATCCTGCCAGTGAACTCTGTACCAACCCAGGGAACCCCACTGGAAGGGAGGCAGCCCCACCACATCCCCCCAGGTTCAATGGTCCTGAACCTTGGTCATGTATTCATGGCCAGGCTATTCAGCAGAGGCAGCCTTGGGGGACCCCTGAGAGTGGTCTTAACAACGAGGCCCTCCTCATATGCCAGGAGAGACCCAAGCCCCAGGCCAGTTTGAGCCCCCTTCCTCCACAGCTCAATTCAGAAGCTCCCAACAGATTTTGGCCTTCTATCATCTTTTCAAGGAAAAAGAGAAAAGAAAAATCACTCCGTGCCCCTCCCCCTCATCAAATCTACCTTCTTTAAATGAACAGAAAGTGCCCCCTTTCGTCCTCCCCACCCCGTTTGCCCACCAAGCCACTGCCATTCCCTCCGAGTTTCTAGAAGCCCAAGGACGGGTCTCACCCACTGGTCAGGCGTCCCTCGTCTGCTCCCCCCCACCACACCAGACAATGGAAAACTGGCAAAAGGCTGCTCCACCAGGCTGGGCACCTCCCCTCCACCCCAGCACCCATTCCGTTCAGAACTTGGCCGGCCACCTAAAGCCAAGGACTGGCCAGCTATTACTCAGGACCCTTCAAAAGTCACCTGGAGAGACAGTTACAGCTGGAGCTTAGGCACGTGGCCAACCTGGGTTCGATCCCCACACTGCTAAGTGTGAGCCCTGTCCCCCCACCCCCGCCGAAAGAGAGAGAGAGAGAGAGAGAGAGAGAGAGAGAGAATCAAGAGAGGGAGCTGACTTAAAACAAATACACTTGCAAGAATGCACACTTGTTGCAGAATTGCATCCACGCACGGGATACTGCAGGTCCCTGCTGGGAACCCCAGGGGCGCCGGGGTGTCCCGCTGTCACTGCTGACAGCCGCCCAGAGCGGCACAGACCAGCCGCCAGGAGCTGGCTCGCAGCGGGAGCGCGGGCGAGGACACACGGGCACGCCCCGGGGGATGGGGCCGCAGGGAAACTGAGGCAAGAGAGCGTGCCCGGCCCGCCGCGCCCGGACCCTCCCTCCCCACTCACCGGACTTGCCCGCCCCGCGGCGCCCCAGGACGGCCAGGTTGATGTCAAGGGGAGCACCATGCGGCCCGCCGCCCGCACGGGGCTTCCCGAACACCGAGGACATGGCGAGCGAGCGCGGGCCCGGAGCTCGGAGGAGGCCCCCGGCCGCGAGGCGCGACTCCCGGCACCCGCGGCCCTGCCCGCGCCCACTGCCGCTCGGCTCGATCCCGCCCCGGCCGGCGGCGCGGGAGGGGCGGGGCCTAGAGGGCGGAGACGGGGGCGTGTTCGTGGGCGTGGCCATATAGGTGGGCGTGGCGTCCCGCTAGTGGGCGTGGCCGCTGAGTATCCCTATTCCATGTACGGGCTGCGGAGCTCCACGGGCCACGGGCGCAGCGCAGGCAGGACCAGGGCGATCCCTTGGGTGATGGGTCTCCGTTTTGAATACTAGAGGGGGTCGAAGAGATAGCATTTCGGGGAAGGCTCTTGCCTTGCACCCTAGTTGGATCCTCGCCCCACATATGGTACCCAGAGAACCTGCCAGGAATGATCCCTGACACAGAGCCAGGGGTTAAGTCCCGAGCACAGCTGAATGTGGCCTGAAAACAAAAACCAAAAAATAGACCAAAGGAAGGGAAAAATACATTCAAAATTCCATGATGTGATTCAGGCCTAATAGGGAGTGACAGACTTAGCCTGGACTCCAGCCTGAGTGCTTCCTAGAACCCAGGGAATCATATTCGGCCAGCTGGAGTGGGGAGGATGTGAGTCCCAGAGATCTCTAACTGCTATAGCTCTCTGCCACCCTCACACCCCACCCCACCCTACCCTAACAAGAGGAACCAAGGAGACTGAAAGCCTCAGAACCTGATGGTAAATAACTGCTCCACCAAGAAGAAAAGGATTCTCCATCTCTGGCTATGACTCTGGACTCAGCCTGTGTTTCTGGGCAATCGTGCCTATAAACCAGTTCTGTTATGAAGACTCAGAGGTATAGGGAATAATTTGTCTGGATTACACCTTCAGGCCAGGATTGCTCATAATGCTCCTGGCCAAAGCATTTCCCTTTGAGTTGGAGTAAAGAACACGAAGCTAAGTTCCAGCCACATTCCTGCTCTGGTGACAGACCTCAGTGCAGACTAGTTCTGGATGGGCTCATTGGGAGCAGAGAACTGTTGCACTCAAGATGGTCAGAAGTGTGACAAGCTGTGGACCCCACAGACCCAATCACCTGGGCAGGGCTGGGGAGTTACTTTCTAGTCTGTAAAGCTGGGACCAATCAGTAGATGAGAGCTTGCCTTGCACGCATCTGACCCAGGTTTGATCCTTGGCTCCCCATATGGTCCCCTGAGCACTGCTAGGAGTGATTCCCGTGTTGCAGAGCCAGGAGTAAACCCTGAGCATTGCTGGGTGTGGCTCCAAAAGGAATCTGATGGGAAATGAATACTCGGATGTGCCCTTGAGTGTCTGAGCTGCCCATAATGAGAAGGGGTAAACCAGGACTGGAGTGATAGTACAGTGGGGAGGTTGTTTGCCTTGCATGTGGCTGTCACCAGCATCCTGTATGGTCCCCTGGGCACTGCCAGGAGTGATTCCTGAGTGCAGAACCAGGAGTAAGCCCTGAGCATTGACAGGTGTGGCCCAAAAACAAACAAAAAAGAGTGGGCCTCCCGCTTCAATACTGAAGGCCATCCAGGGGTAACCACATGAAGGAGGTACTACAGAGACTTCACTGTGACTGGCAGGCTGCAGTGAGGTGGCGCCTAATTCTGTCCCATACAGGGCTTATGTGACTTAGGGCCAGCTGGTGGCTCAGGCCCTCCCCATGACTACGAGTGTCCAATGTCCAACCCTCCTCAGAGGCTAGGGTAGCAAAGAATGCCAGTCCACACCGCAACCAGTCCCTCTCACCATCTTGCGTCTCATCTGTCACCTCTCTCACTAGCACACAAAAATGACCCTCGTGTGTGGGAAAGGACTTTGGAATCAGTTGCAACCTCTCAGGTCCCAGAATCATGAACTTGCCCTTTTTCCTCCTTGAAACAGGGATCATGTAAGGCCAGAATGATGGTGCAGTGGGTGGGACTCTTGCCTTGCACAAGGGCAACCCAGATTTGATCCTGGCTCCCCATACGGTCCCCCGGAGCACCACCAGGAGTGATTCCTGAGTGCAGAGCCAGGTGTGGCCCCAAAACCAAACCAAAGAAGCATACAAATAAATGGAGAGGTTGGAAAGACTTTGCAGGAATTGGAACTCCTAATCCAGTGCTCTTCCTTCTCAGATCCAGGTAGGCTCCTCACTAACCCAAACACATTTAGGGCCAGAGACACAGTATAATGGTTAGGGCACTTGCCTTGCATGCAGCAGACCTGAGTTTGATTCTGGGAAACCCATGTGGTCCCCTGAGCATTGCCAGGAGTGATCTCTCTGTACACAGAGCCAGGAGTAAGGCCTAAGCACCGCTGGGTATGGCCCAAAATACCACACACATTCACATAAACCATGGGAGACAAAGTCGGGGTCCCCACCAGGCTCAGGGTGGGTAAGTGTCTTCTTGGGCAGGGCTTTCTCTCTCCTGCTCAGGAGGTTCTGCTGGGACAGTGACTGAGCTGCCTCTGTCAGACTAGGGGCTGCCCCTCGGGTGGGGCCCTGGGCTCCCGGTTTCTCACTGTGCCCAGAAAACAGTTCTCTGTGGCTAGAGAACTCAGTCAAGCATGAAGAGTCACGCTCCAAGCCCCTCTCCTCGACCCATCCCAGCTTCACACAGGGCGGAGAGATCAGCCCAAGGTCAGGCAGGGCCTGGGAACCCCGTGGGCGGCCAGAGTCAGGACACTTCCTCATGGTCTCCAGGTCCCAGAGGAACAGGGACTGTGGAGAGGAAGAAACACCACTGGGGTTTTGGGGTGGGAACAAGGGGTTGAGGTGAAGACCAGTCTCAGCATCCTGACCTCTCACCTTGGTGGGGGGCCCTCCCCACTGCCCGAAAGCTGAAGATGGAGCAGAGTGTGGGCATCAATGTCCCAACTACACTCACCATGAAGGTTTCTCTTTGCCTGCACCTCTAGGAATAGCCAGGCCATGCTGAAACCCCGGCAGGGGCCTGGAGAAGGTGCGTCTCCATCTCCATCCAACCCCCACCATGGCCAGCTCAGGTCTGGGGTTAGGGAGCTGGGCAAGGACTTCACTCTCCACCTCCATATGGTTCATAACCAAAGAACCTGCAGCCCAGCTCTCAGCCCCAGAGACCCTCTCCTGACCCCCAAGTACACAGCAAGGGTAGATCTCCCATGGGCTCCGCGGAAAGCCTCCTCCAGCTGCCTGGACTGTCCTGGCCCTGCCACGATCCGGGCCTCAGGATGCAGCTGGCTGAGGGCCTGGGAAGGGCCCAGGGGCCGAGTGCCCAGCCCCTCCATCTCCTCCTCTTCTTCCTGTCTGGTCCCTTGGGCAGAGCCTCCAGGAAGTTTCCAGCAGCCTCCTTCTGCCTTCCCAGGCTCTGGCCAGCAGCCCCTCACCCCACAGCTTGAATGGTGGAGCCGAGGGAGTTCCCTGGAGGGGAGGCTGCTGGTGCATGAGCCTGCAGCCTGGTAGTGCACTCTGTGCTGGTCACTGAAGGGAGGAGAGTTCCCTGCTCTGACCCTGGGGGTCTCTCTGTTCTCCTGACAGTCTCTTAAAAGTCAGGTGCCACCCCACACAGCTTGGGCCCGAGTCCTCTCAACAGAAGGAATGGCAGAAGATCACCACTGAGCTACCTGGCAGTGACATTGTGACCAACAGCTGTACAGGGCCCCCTGGGGATAAGAGGAAGGCCTGTTCCCCACAAATGCCTTGATCTTGGGCATTTAATTTTCCATCCTCCCTGCAAGGGAAGGGGTGCAATCACTGAAGCTGCTCTTCCAGCTGCAATGTCCTGCCCAGAATTTGCAGCTGAAAGGAACAGAAGACAGTGGTCAGGAACCATAGTGGCTGTACATCATTTCCGCATATTTGACTTCAGTTTTTCTACCAACCTTTTCGTGCCTCAGTCTCTTCATCTGTGAAATGGGCCAGTGCTGACCTCACCATACACAGTTAATACCTACTAAGTGAGCAGAAATGGGCTAGAGAGACAGTACAGTGAGGAAGGAGCTTGCCTAGGACGTGGTTGACCCGAATTCAATCCACTCATGGCATCGGATCCCATGAGCACAACCTGCCGTGATCCCTGAGCACCTCCAGGTGTGACCTCCCAAACCAAAGATAGCTAATATAAATAAAATATTCATAATACGCTCCAAATTAACCACTTGTCAGAGGGTGGCTACAAAGACTGTAGAAATGTGCATCCTTACAACAGCAACCAGCCACCAAGCCTCTTCATTCCAGGTGCGGTGACTTTACAGTCACAGAGATTCTCTGAGTTGGCGTTCCCAACCCCTGCCAGGGAAAGTGGTAAGCCCGTGAAATGGGTACATGATTTTCAGGGGGACTCTGTGCCAGGACCAGCAGCTGACCCCGTGCAGGTTAACCGCGACTGGTTCCCAGTCACCTCCAGGTGCCCGGCCTGCAGCGGGCGGGCCCTCGGGAGACCGTGGCCGCGACCCCCCGGTTTCCATGAGGAGGCAAATGACCCTGCAAGGTCTCCGGGTGCCCTCGATGGCACAGCAGCCGCCACATCACATGAGCTGAACTATCTTTAGCCAAGGGATATTTATAACTCCCGGGGAAGTTTGTTCCGCTCCGGGGTGGCCTCGGGGCCGTTGACCGCGGACTGCAACCCCAGCGGCTGCCTGCCGCGTCGGCCCGGGCTCACCATGGCGCGGGGCCCCGAGGCCGCGGTGCAGGTGTGGGTGGACGGGCAGCTGTTCCAGGCCGAGCGCGCGCTGCTGGAGGAGCACTGTGGCTTTTTCCGCGGCCTGTTCCGCTCGGGCATGCGGGAGGCGCGCTCCGCCGAGGTGCGCCTGGGCGCGCTGAGCGCCGCGGGCTTCGGCACGGCGCTGCGGGTGCTGCGGGGCGAGCGGCCGGCGCTGGCCGCGCCCGACGAGCTGCTGCAGGCCGTGGAGTGCGCCGCCTTCCTGCAGGCACCCGCGCTGGCGCGCTTCCTGGAGCACAGCCTCACGTCGGACAACTGCGCGCTGCTGTGCGACGCGGCCGCCGCCTTCGGGCTGCCCGACGTGCTGCGCAGCGCCGCGCTCTTCATCCGCGACGGCGCGGGCGAGCTGGCGGCCGGGCTGGCGCTGCCCGAGGCCCG